AACCAGGAGGAAATAGATGCTCTTATACTGGAAAGGGTCAAAGAGGGTCCGAACAAGGTGCAATTTTACGTGGAAGTGGGAATGATCAAAATTCCCACTGTGCAAGACGGGGACAGTGGAAACTTCGAAAGGACCATGCTGTTTCTGAACACTAAGACATTGACAGTGTACTTCGAGGGAATAGCTGGGGTTCAATTCTTGGAACTGATTGAACATATGGTCAACCAAGTCAATTCGTTCTCTTCTCATGGTAGCGGATGGATTATTGACAGAATTGAAAAATTGCAAATCAGTTTCGCGGCCTTCTCACCAATAAGAGCAGGATCCTACCTCGAGCTACCTGATGCACTCAGCGCAGCATCTACTCTGCTCACAAATATCAACACTAAAGATGATGACCGTTGCTTTCTCTACTGCTTTGTTGCCGCATATCACAATGTGAATGAGCCGGCCCTCTAACCCACATCTAGACGGTGGCTGGAGAAAAACAAAGTCTCAACCTACAATCTCGACAAAGAAGGAATTGTGAAAATCAATGGGGAATACGAAATGCCAATGGGTCTGATGGATATGGACAGATTTGAAAAGTTGAACAATTGTCAAATCAACGTCTTCCGGTAAGCAAATTCTAATTGCCTTCTAAAAATTTTAAAATTCCTTCAATAATTTTCTTCACCTATTCAAACACCCTTTTTATTTCATTCCAAACCTAGGTTATTTTTCTGTTCAGGTACAACGATGGCGAATTTTTGCCCATAAGAGTATCGAGCAGATTCACTACTAGCCTGATTGTGGAATTGTTGCTGCTGACAGATGGATCAAAATATCACTATGTGTTGATAAGTGATCTCCAAAAACTGGTCGAGTACGTGCGGCACAAAGTGCACCGATTTCAATCTGAGATTTGTCGCAAATGTTTCCACACATGCGCTTCATTCGAAACTCTGAGAAGACATCAAGAACTGTGCTACAAAGACGAAGATGTCGTCATAACAATGCCCAAGCCGGGAAAAGATGACCACAAGTTCAAAAACTTAACAGCTCGTTGGTACGTACCCAGAGTAATCTACTTTGATTTGGAGTCACTGCTCTTACCAGTATACAGACCGCAACCTGATCCGCGAAAATCTAGCACGCAAACAATTGAAATCCATCAACCGTGCGGCTACGCGTTAGCAATAATCGAATTTGGGAAAAAAGACCTGTTAAAGTTTAAGCTTAAAAGAGGACCGAATGTGATGGAAGAGCTAATTAGCTCCCTTGAATCGTTAGCGAGACAAATTTACGTAGAAAAAAGGTAATATTACACTTTCACTGGTATAACAGACCAGGAACGGGAAGATGCTACATTTTGTTGGATATGCGAGAATGATTTTCCGACAATGATCAAGTGGTACTTGATCATTGCCATTACACCAACAAGTTCCTGGGTTGGGGACAAAATGAGTGTAACGTTAATAGAGAAACAACAAATTACATTCCAGTGGTAGCTCATAATTTGTCAAATTATGATTTACACTTTATAATCAAAGCGCTGGCAAAAAGCGATTCGGAAAACACTTTTTCCGTAATACCCGCATCTGAAGAAAAATATATATCCTTGACAATCTCAGTATATATAAAAACGTACACGGACAAAAACGGCAAAATCAAAAGACTCTACAAAAATCTGAGGTTCATCGATTCGTATAGGTTCATGCTAGCATCGTTGGCAAAACTTGTCGATAATTTGCCCAACGAAAAGTTTTTTCTGCTGGAGAACTATTTTGAAAAACTCGGCCACTCAGCTGAAAAAGTCAGTCTGTTGAAACAGAAAGGGCATTACCCCTACTCATACTTCAACTCATTCGAAAAATTCCGAGAAACTCACCTTCCCCCACGAGCAATGTGGAAAAATAGTCTAACAGGAGGGGATGTGAGTGTTTCAAGAAGCGAGTACAATCAGGCCCTTAAAGTTTTCACCGAACTGAAGTGTCGCTCACTTGGTGATTACCACGACTTGTACTTGACTACAGATGTGCTATTGCTTGCTTCCGTTTTCGAAGCTTTTCGGGAAGTTTGCTATCAAACATACGGGCTGGATTGTGCCTGTTACTTCACGGCAAGTAACCTTTCCGGGGACGCCTTTTTAAAAGTTTGTAAGCCCCAACTGAAACTCTTGACGGACCGTGAACATCTGGACCTTGTGCTGCGAATGATACGAGGAGGCATGTCGTCGGTCTATGCGCGCCGATTTTACAAAGCAAACAATAAATACCTCGACAATTTTTTGCCCTCAGAACCATCAAGCTACATCCTCAATATTGATGCAAACAATTTGTACGGGGGGATAATGAAACACTGCCCTTTGCCATTAAACGATTTTTCAATAGTTGAAAAAAGTCTGGCAGACATACTGCTCACCAGCGAAACCTCAGAGTGGGGTTATATAGTTGAAGTCAATTTAACCATACCCGAAGAGCTTCACGACTTCTTTGCTGATTACCCCCTTGCCCCCTCTCGTGAAGTAGTGGACATCGGTGCAATGAGCAACGAGCAAGTCGACATGTTGGGGAAATTGGGAATCACCACACTGCCAAAATTGCCAAAGCTTCTACAGACCTTGCATCCTAAAGAAGGTTATGTTTTGCACTACCTTACCCTAAAATTGTACCATGAGCTGGGAATGAAAATAACTCAGCTCGGAAAAGTTCTTCAGTTCCGCCAAAGTCACTGGATGGCACCCTTTGTCGACCTCAACACCCGCCTACGAAAAGCCGCGGTAAATAAATTCCAGGAGAACTTCTACAAGCTAATTGTTAATTCAGCTTTCGGTAAGACAATGGAGTCTAAGTTAGGAAGAAAGAAGCTGGAGATTGTAAGGAATGAGAGAGAACTTTTACAAAAAAACAGCTCTGAGCACAATGAAAAGCTTTCAAATCATTGACGATCAATTAGCCACAATTAGCTTTTCAGTAACGAAAATATTGTGGGATAAACCTATGATAGTTTGTGCGATCATCCTAGACCTCGCCAAGCGTTTCATGTTTCAGTTTCATTATCAAAAAATGAAACCAAATCCAAACTTGGAACTCTTTTACTCCGACACGGATAGTTTTATGTACGCTATAAAAACTGATGACGTTTACCGAGACTTGGAGAAAATAAAAGCTGATTTCGACTTTTCAAATTACGATAAGGACCATTTCTTGTTCGAGGATACCAACAAGAAAGTTGTGCTGAAGTTCAAAGACGAGACTGGTGGGAAGCCGATCAGAGAATTCATCGCCCTAAAACCGAAACTATATTCGGTCGTCCTTAATGGTAAATAAAATTTAAGCCACCCTTCCACCCCCCATTCCTACCTTTTACAGAACAAAATTACCACCACCAACCTACCTACATCCCTTAATTTGTTGCATTAAACTTTTTTACCAATTGCCTAAACGTTGACTTATCTGACAACATATTCCCTCTTTTTTCCTCTTTTTTAATCATAATTTAGAGTCTTCTGCTCTTTTTTGGTAAAATGAATCAAATTTTGTTCGGTATAAATTGAGTTGCTGAAGTGAAATGAAGCTATCCCCTACGTTGTAGAAAAGAATAATAGTTTTGCTTCTGTTTAGAAGGCTCTCAAAAATTGAGTGCCAAAGGAATTAAACGGAGTGCACAGAGAGAACTGGTCCACCAAACCTTCAGGGACACATTATTTACTGGAAAAACAATGAGAGTGTACAACTATAATATAGTTTCGAAAGGTCACACCAATATGACAGTGAAACAAAACAAACTTGCATTATCACCATTCGACTCAAAACGTTTTCTACTTTTCGACGGAATTTCGACAGTGCCCTTTGGCCATAAAACCGCTGAAGAAAATGCTTTTCTAGAAGACATTTACATGGACACCGAGTGGGCCAACTCATACAATGAAACTGATAACAGTTCTCCCGATTTTACACTTCCAGATTGGGGATTTTTACAGCGGCCCTACTCAGAAGCAGAGCTGCAAGAAGAAGAAGAAGCTTCTAGTAGCCGATTCCGTGAACGTCCCCCTATAAAAAAACCCATTTATTTTATCTGAAGCTTCAGAAGAACGACCATCTAAAAAACAGCGCAAAGAAAACCAAAACAATAAACATTAAAGTCTGAAACATATATTTTCAGATGATTTTTACTGTTCGTCCTTTTTATACTTCGACTTGTATATGTTTAGGTTTTTACCAATTTACAACTAATAAAATACTCGTATTGAGCTCAATCACTGTTTTAACATAAATAGCTTCAGGCAAATAAACTAGTAGACGCAAACCAAGTGTTAATTCAAACAAATGTGTGAAATCCTTAGGCTTGTTTTCAATAACAAACTTTAATAGCATGACAAATCTTTGACAAAAAGAAAGCCAGGAAATGATATCCACATGAAACTAGGACGAAAAAAGAAAAGTTCAGGAATTAGGACGATTAATTTTAATTATCGCGGGAAAAAGGACCGCTTTCAAAGGAATTAGAAGGAATTATTGTATCTCGTCCCGGTTGTTGAGCTCAGCTTAACAAGATCCTAAGGAGGGGGTCTTTTACTTTAGGGGTGGGAACTTGCGATCATTTACAAAATCCTAGGATAGGGGTCCTCCAAAAAATTAAGGACCACTTTCCTAGAATTTTGCTTTACGTGAGGACCCCCCTTAGGAAGGACCCCCCCCCCTTAGGATCCGGGACACGATACAATACTACTGACGCCGCTTTAGGGTCCAAAAAAATTGGTATCTCAAAATAGTACAAATGGGGACCCTTTGGGTTGGCGGGGGTCGAAATCCTGGGGGAAGAGGGGCGTCCGCTCCCCTCCCTAAATCCACCCCCGGAAAAGAGCAAGAACATTTGGACCTTGAGTTGCTAAATATTTGTTCAAATATTCAAGAAAGCGAAATTTTAGTTTGGATTTTTTTGGGACACCCTGTATTTTGTTGTTCCGTCACTGGAAATATGGTCTGATTACAAAAAGGCTTAATTTTCAATTTTAGATTGCAAAATGGATACAGAGAGCATGAAATACTATGATGATCGAAAAACGTTTCGAGAAACGCTGACTTCCAAACTTGACTTTGTGGGAAAAGCCATCAACATGTTCACGTGTCCTTGTCCACTCGACAAATTGGCAGATGGTAAATAAATAAACTGATCGTGTAATTATTTTAAATTTAAAAAAACATCCTGAAGAAAAAATAAAGAAAAAAAAACAAGTTTTAACAAACATTACAATGCACCCTAGCTTTTTCGCACCTAAATGTTGATTTTTGACTACTTTTACAAATGCTCCTGATCCATGTGGGTCTTTTCTAATTATATATTTCTTTTTCTTTGCGCCGTCTGCGCGTCGCACTCTTTATTTTATCCCGGGTATTTCCTTGCAACGAATTTTGCTTTAAGGACCATGGCTGTTGTCAGAAAAAATCTGCATACAAAAATACAATTTTTGACAGAAGTTTTTCTGATGTGACGTGGTAGTGCCACCTCGCTAAATAAACATCAAAAATGCCTAAAAATTGTGAACAATGTACTCTACCATAGCACCCATAATGCCAATTTTGACATACAAACGATAGGAACTAGCTAAAAAAGTCGAAACATAGATCGAGTACAATCAAAACATAGGTCGAACATAGTTGGAACTTAGTGTGGAACTGCGCATGCAGTAACCTTGATATGTTTTTGTATTGGTTCTAAAAAAGCTTATGGTTAATATGTAATAGTTTAAGGCCATATATCTCATGCTAAGTTATCTCATGAGATCATGGACCGTCTGTGCCTGCGTTTGCGAGATTATGAAGAGTTTTACTTAGACCACACTACAATAAAACAAATATCAGTTTGAATTCTTTTATTGATCAATACTCTTTTTTACAGGTTAGCAGTTAAATTAGTATGCTAGCACTCACATAACGCAGTGAGCAGAATCCTGGAATCAGGATAACAAACTGATATTTGAATATCGGGACCAAGTTAAAACCCCTCCCCTCCCCCATCCAAAGCCGTTTAGGGGGGAGGATGTTAATTTGGTCCTGATTTCGAATGTTTAGCCAATCAGAATAGAGCATTTTATAAGCAGCGCTTAGCAAGTTTATTTTAAATTGAATGCTCAGGTAGAGGATATTAACTTGGTCTATTTGGGGGAGGCGATGTTACCTTGATCCATATATCTCGAGCGGGGGGCGGGCGGATTAAAAAAAAATCGAAAATTGTGTCAACTCTGTCAACCGGTCGTTCAAACCGGTTTGTTGAGCGCTCCCAAATCACTGTAAAGAGGCCTTTTCTTCGATTAATTTTTCTTCGCCACAGGCAAAGTTTTGAAAAAACCGGCCAAAAAAGGCGCTTTTAGACAACTTTTGGAAAATTTTGATCAAAGAATCGCGTTTTTTTTTCTGCGTGCGCTTTCGCCTCAAAATTAGTATATTTTGGCGCCAAAGGCGTCTTTGGATAATTTTTAGGGTCAGTCAGCCAAAATTGGATGTTTCAGAATAGTACAAAGGAGGACCTTTTGGGTCGTAAGGGTGTCGAATCTCTGAGAAAGAGGCGTCCAACAACCCCCCCCCCCCCCTAAATCTGCTGGTGGTTGTGGGCAAAATCAAACTCAGATCCTCCATGGCAGTACAAAAAAAATAACATAAATTCTGTGCAGCAGTTAGTTTGGGACTATTTCAGACTACCACAACGTGTTCAAGCAGCAGGTGCAATTTAGGGACTCAGTCTGGTCAGAAGCTAAACTGGTTTACGACAGTCTAAAAAAGAGAGCCGTCTGCACTGCAAAAGATAAGGTATAAAAGGGTTAATTTTAAACTTCTCTCACCCATGAATTTAAGGCCACACAAACACTAATAAAGATATCAAGAAAACGTTTATCAGTGGTATACAGTGGTAAACACAGGAATTATTTTGAGAAAATTTTTTGTTAGTTTCGAGTATTTCACAATTTTATAAACCACCACTTTGATTTTCGAATGACAATATTTAGCAACAATTTTCTGCGATTGACCATTTTTAGCGAAAATTTCTTCCATTGAACATATTTAGCCGAAACTTTCCACGGATGACAGCATTTTACAAAATTTTTCTGCGAATGAGCATATTTAGCAAAAAAAATTGGAAATGGCCATATTTAGCAAAAATTCTCTCAAAAAACCATATTTAGCGAAAAATTGTAGCATATTTTTTCTGCTGTTTTTTTGCTTGCACTCCGCCTTTTAACCGAAGGGACATTTAAAAATCTTCAGGGTTGGTCGAACAAACATGGAAGTCATACAGTAAAGTGTAATACCAAATTAATACCTTTTGGAACCATTTCGGCAATAATATCCTTTGAAAACATTTCGGCAATAATATCCTTTGAAAACATTTCGGCAATAATACCCTTAAAAACATTTCGGCAATAATACCCTTTGGAACCATTTCGGCAATAATACCTTTCAGAAAAGTTTCGGCAATAACCCTTCGGAAAAAATCCGCAATCAACCTCCCGACCCCAGAATTGAGGCCTTTAGATTGGTCGGTCCGACTTGCTACAACTGAATATTGAGTTCTCTTTTCTTCATCAAATACACTATGGCGAATTTTGAAAGTGTCGTTCGAAGTTTGGGGAGATTCATACTCTGCACGCTACCCGAGTCAGTTGCGGTGTTTCATGCCAAGGGATCAAGGGTTTTTTTCCAACTGGGGGTGAAGATGATGAACAAATTATGAAACATTTCGTTGACTTTGTTTTGCTCAATCAAGTTTTATTTGAAAACGCCTGAAAAAACAAATTATACCCATTTTTATTGAAATTTCTGCGCCAAAAGTCTAATTAGAGCCAAATCTGGAAATATTTCGTACAAAAAGTTGATTGCTTTGGTGTGCGCTCCCCAGCAAAATGAGGTAACATAGGCGCTAAGAGATCTTTAGTCAGAACAAAATCGTCAGGAAAAAGTGAATGTCGCAAAACAGGGATATTTTGGGTGGGCGGGGATCGAATTCAGATACGGGCGTTCAAATTAACAGATTTTAAACTAAATATAGGATCATAATTTGTGATAATTTTAAGCAGAACACTGAATGTCCGATGGTGTTTGTGCACATGAGAATGGCCAACTATTATCACAAAAAAATGCGAGCACGAAATGACTTCAATATTTACGATAAGACGGACTACGTACAAGTAGCCTTCAGAAACGCATCCATCACTTACCAGGTAAAACCAGACTTTAAGTTATGCTTTTGTTTGATTGCCACTTTATGAACATTAATAGTTTTCTGTGCTTTTATTCAATAGTAAAATCATTATACGGGAAAGTCAGACTATAAAAATTGTTTTATCAGCCAGAGGCCTAATCGTTAGATTAATTATTTAATATTAACTAAGCTATGGCTATCCTAGAAGAACTCACCTTCTAAATTGCAGATCTTGTGCAATTTGAACCCGCGATCATATGGTTGCTAGGCACCATCGACACCGATCCGTCACATCACCCCCTAAAACTTTTAGAAAAATTATTATAAACAAAATTGGGAACATGAGACGAGAAAAAAGGAAACAAATGTGAAAAGGAGGTGCAACTAACGGGATGCTGCTAGAAATAAAAACTTTATGAAAAACAAGGATAGCCGGTTACTGTGCAAGTAGCACAGAGCGTTCCGACCAGTCTTTAAAAACTACAAAAAATTTTTTTTTCTTCAAATTAGTGTAGTTTTTTCTGCGAGGTGTGATAAAAGGATCTGATGTAATACTATAATTTAGGCTTCTTATACAGTCAGAGTAATACAGGCCAATTGGAAAAATTGACAGGAAATTGACTAAAAACAAAAAAAATAAAAAAAATTAAAAAATTGAAAAAGAAAAATTTAAATTTATTTTGCTAAAAATTTTTGGAGTTATCTGCAACTTTGGATTCTCAAAATGGAGTTAAAAACTCAAAATGGAATCAAAGATTAATTTGACTTGCTGAAATCTAAGTATCTAAGTTTTTAGGCGTTAATTTAGGTACAATTAAGCTGTTGTAAGCCTGCTCACTCATTATATTCGCTCGACATAAGACAAAAAATCAAAAAATTCAAATTTTCAAGGTGGTTTGAATCACGACTATAAGGGATTTTTTATGTTATATCACTCAACCCAATCCGATGATTATTTTGGTACCTGATTTTGCGTGGAAAACAAAAAAAAATTAAAACACACCTGAATACAAAGTTTCTTTCAATTTTCAATGGTCGAAACAATAAAAAAAATTGGACGGCCAGCTCGCGGTCCCAGCGGTTACTGATAGGGGTAGGGCTGGTCTTAGTTTTGAGTTCAGAAAGGACATGGCTTTACTTTTGATTTAAATTAAATGCAATTTTTACAAGTTTCGTTTTTATTTAATGTGGTCTGAAATTTCATTTTTTTTTTCGCTCGAAATAAAAATTGTAATGGCCCTGCAATGACTAAAGAGAATAATCCTTGTTTTTCTTTCAGACTTCAACTATATTTGTCTTGGGCTATACGGACAAAGATGTGTTCAATTTTTTCGAGATGCACTCCAGAGAATTTGACGGGCTCGACATTATTTTTGTCTCTCATGAAAGGAGCAATCTTATCAAGGACCCCCATAAATACGCAGGTCAGCCAAATTGAAAGTAGTATATGTGGGGGCCAATCAGGGACCAGTCTGGACCAAGTTTATATCCCCCGACGTAGGGGGGAGGATGTTAACTTGGTTCAAAACTGCATTTTTCAGACAGTCACAATCGAGTATTGTAAACGAAGCGCTGAGCCATTTTATTCCAAATTAAAGATTGGGGAGGAAGATCTTAACCTGGTCTGGTTAGGGGGAGGATATTAATTTTATCCGCCAGTCCACATAGCGGCCATGTGTATTAAATTATGAAATTCTTTTCCAGTTGCCGGGACTTCCTCATTGGCTCCTACATTTGGTATCAAAAGGTACTGGGAATGTGTTTTGCCAGATATGTCCACTAAACAGTGGCAGTTTTAGTTGACCAAAGTAGTTATAGAAAAGCAAACTCTGAAGAATCATTTTTCATAAGTGCTTATAGATCTAAAAGACTGTTACGCCTGTTGAATTATATTGAGTTTCAATTGCGGTCTAATAAATTAGACACCAAGCAAATGAGACGATGATCCTAAAACAATTGAGTTTAGGAAAAAAATTATTAAAAAATTGACATTTTGGATGACAAGAACATGGCCAACAAAATTTCTTGCATAGAAAAATATTACACGAAAACAAAAAGAGTATATTATCATAGAACCAATTAAAATTATAATTTTAAATATAAAAATATAAATATAATACTTACACACTTAAAATACTTCATCGAAATTGTGTAGTACATATTTAAAAGTCCTAAATTAAACAGCTAAGGCATTTAAGAACCTGATTTGCGGTTGTCCACAATGAGTATTCAATCACAATTTATTGAAGAGTCATAAACATTGTGAACACTCTTATTGGGGAACACTCTTTAAGATTTTATTTTTTTAGGAAATTTTTTTCAGATTTTTTCACGCTTCAGATAGAGTTTTTGCCGCTTGACGCTTAGTAATAAAGTAAAAACGAAAGTAATGGAATAATTGTGCTCGGGGTGGTTTTTTCTTCAGACGATTTTCGACTTATTAACTAGAAATTTTGACGGATTTTTTTATATCATTCAAAAGGTATTGTTGTCCTAAACTTAAATTTGAAAAAATATTTTACCTGTGATCATTTTGTTTGATATCTTCAAGTTATGGGGGTTTGAATATTGCCATTTAGGCCAATATGGGACATTTAACGCGCGATATATTTTAAACTAATAACATGTATGCGGAGATTTAATCCGTCTTAGAATTCTTCCAAATTGGTTGAAAGAAGCTTATTTGCCCTTAATAATTTGTTACAATGAGCAAAATTTATCTTTTTGTACTTGATATGGCGTGTGGTGTGATGATTTTTGACAAAAATTCTCAAATTAAAAAAAAATTAATTTTAATTTTATTTTACTACATATAATTTTTTAAATGTTGTTACTGCTCCATTGACCTTTATCAGACATTAAGGCAGTCAGACATTAGGGGCTACGCCCTGATACGAGCAATTTTTTTTTCTTCTAAAATTCAGTTCATTTCTTTTATTAAAAGGAAAGTAAACTTCACTATTGAACAGCAAATGTGTAAGGTCACGAAAAAAGTGATCAATTTCTAGTTTCGAAAAAAAGTGTCAATCATAAATGTTCTCGAAATTCAATTTGGACTGCTTCATGACTTTACGACTGCGTTCATTATTTTTTTTCCATTTTTCTGTTGGCGATGTTTTCAGTTTATAAACAAATTTATTGCAATTTGCTCGTACAGTATCGCCTAAGTTAAGCAGTTGTAGCAATATAAGCAGTTAAAAAAACGTATAAATGTATGTTGGAGTTTTAAACTTTTTCCAAGCTTATCTATATCAAATGTTTTTTTGACAAATAATTTCTAAAAGCCAGCATTCTTTTCAAACTGCATGTTGAAAACTAAATGCTCCATACATGTTCCAATCTGATTCCTTTTACATGTATCAACATGTTAAAAATATATTTTCAGCAATTTAATTTTTTAAATTTCGGCCTGAGTTGGATTCGGTTTCAAGTCCGCTAGGCTTGTTGTCCTCTAACTAATTGTTTTAGTGGAATATAATCGTATTTTTTGTTATATTATGAAGAAAATTAATCAACAAAAAAATTGTTGGTCAAAATATAATTTTTAGCAAAATTTGATAAAATAGTGTTCTCCTATTGCCTAAACTTGACCAATAAATTGATGCCAACATATAACTCAAATCTGATGTTCATTCTCAGTGTTTCTGCTGACGATTTATGCAGCCGAAATATAACTTTACAACTCAAGCATTGAACCAAACCAGTCGCCCATGAATTATAAAACCAGTTTGAAACTAGTTATTTAAATAATATTTTCTTTCACTCTTAAAAATTAATAACTAACCATTCATAAAACATAACTAAATCTTACTCTTAATTGTAAGCCTGAAACCCTGGTAATTCAAAGAAAATAGAATTAAAGATAGAAATCAGTTGCTTTCTTCTCTCCTCTAACTTCGCAACAAACGAGTATATCTCTAGATCTATTGAGACTAGGAAATACGAGATATAAGAGTAAGACTAGGATTGGTATTAGACTAAGGAGTTGCACGAACTTATCCGGTCGCAAGTAGATAGCGTGACGAAAGACGGTATATCCTATCCAAAGTTACTATTTGAGAAGGCCACCCGGGACCTGAACTCAATGGGGCCAAATGGGGCCAAATTTTCACATATTTTCAGCCAATCAAACTTGAGAATTCAACAATCTCAGAGAAATTGCAATAGTTTGGAAAAAAGCGAATAAATACAAGCCATTGACATTAATACTGACCATGTGTTTGCTTGAATTAAGCATTTTGTAGTTTGCGATCATTCGATCCTTCTGTCATGAGAATACATCCGTGATTGAATCCGCCGAAAATATAATTCATGGGTGAGAGGTTTGACTCAATATTTGAGATGTAAATGTTTATATTTCGGCAGCATATTTAGTTAACCCAAATGCTTTTATCTTGGGAAAATTGGCCATCAGAAATTAGTAGTAATTTTTTCCTTTCCGCGGCGCACCTCTGCTATCGCTTTAATTTCGTTTTTTTATGTGCATGCAGGGTTTATTATGTGCGTTTTTTTTATGAAGGGTCGGATCTTCAAAAAATATATATTAACTCATCAATAGATTATGTGATTTAGCGATTGACATGGTGCTTCTATCTATGGCCGATGTACTGATCATGACTGTGGGAACATATGGAGAATCAGGGGCTCTTCTTGGAAAAGAGAAACAAGCAGTTTATTTGCCAGACTATTATGGATACACTTTTAGTAAAAATATAACCAACTCCAGATTTATTCGAATTCCATTTAAACAATGGCAATGATAAAACACTTCCGAAACAGGCGACGAAACATATGGAGTGGGTTTTTTCTACCGAAAAGTTTTTTACTATTCAACTAACAAGTTTTGGCGGCGTTCTGTGAGGTCTTTGAAAGATATTGCTATTTTGAGCTTCAAACAAAAAATCTTACGACAACCGCTGTCATAAAATCTTTTTGCTTGGAGGTCAAAGTAACAATATCTTTCAAATAAAGGTATCAAATAATAATATCTTTCAAATTTACAATCACACAATAATTTACAGATGGTGACTTTCTGTAAAACTTTTATGGGGTTGAAATTGTCAATTTGATCATTTGAGATAACCAACGCAATGTATTTCGTTATTTCATTGCAAAAGCGAAAATAAATCCGACAGATCAACTAAACTGTACGAAGCCCCCCTTATATTTCTTCTGTCTTTTAATCTTCACTTTTTTTTCTCGTTCCCTTTTCTCGACCATTTCAAGCTCAATTCTGTCTAGACTCGCGTATCGTGTCCGGTTGTCTTGCTTTTCTTGTTCCTTTGCTTGGCTGCCCCTCCCATTATATTCCCCCAACTCGCCGCTGCACGATAAAGCTTGACTTTGGACCCTTGATGCTGTTGAGCTTTATGTAATAGTAGTGTAACTTTAGAATACCCCCCTCCCCCACCTCTTGTTCACTGTTCTACCCCGCGGGGCTCATGCTGTTTTCTCATCTGAAGGTCATTGATACCCAGAGTCTGAATCCTCTTCTTTACTTGTGTAGGCTCTTACGATTGCTTTATTCTCACTTTGAATATCTGTTCATGTTTGACGACTTTACCAAACATTCCAACTGCATATTACAATTTCTCTCTTCTCAAACTTTAGTTAGGCAATCGGCTGACATCTGGTCGGACTGGAAATGCAAAATGAAGAAGCCTTCATATTATAACAATAAAAATATTCTCAACTTTTAAGGATTTGATTTTCGACCTATACACACGCATTTTTACGTTAAGAACATGAGAACATCTGTCAACACTCAATATCCAGTACCGTGCCAATGGGGAGGCGACCAAACTTTCCAAAGGGTCCCCCTTTTGGTATAACTTTACGCTATCTATTTTTAACTGGCCAACCTCAAAATTTTTGGGCGCCACTATAACTAATTTTGAGGGGGATGGGCGCATTTAAAACTTTTTTTGTTAAAACTGGGGGGATGGGCGCAGTTAAAACTTTTTTGTTAAAACTGGGGGGATGGGCGCAGTTAAAACTTTTTTGTTAAAACTTTCCAAAACGCCTTTTTTACCTGTTTTTTTTAAAGATACCTGAGGAGCAGAAAACGTTGGCAAAAAAGGGCCCTTTCAAAGTTTTCTGAAAAACAGCCCCCCCCCCTTAGAAAAATTTCTGCGCACGCCACTGTCAATGTCTGTTCAATTCTTAATCGACCCCCTATATCCAACTCTATAAGTTCCCAAAAAGTCTTCTTTTTCTGCAGCACATCTAGTGGCAAAGACGTCTGTTTCAAGAGAGCTGTTGTGACATTTGGCAATCACTTGGGTCACCCAATGAAATACAGCAACCACTCCCAAGTTCTGCTGCCAAGTTACGTCCTAGGAATAAAATATTATAGAATCTGTATAATAATGTGGTTCCTGCGAATCGCAGAGGAGCTATGAGTAGGCCTGAACAGTCCTGTCGAGGATAGTCCATTTGTATTATCTCCCCACATTCCAGACAGTGTTATTTTGTTTATATCATTTTTTTCCGACTCAAGGCCGTTTTTTCTAGAACTTTCACGTTGTACCACTACTGCAGTCAAAATTATAATAGTTGTAATGCATTTTCTAAGGAGCAAAAAAAAATAGATTGTTTTGCTAAAAAAAATGATTTTTTTGTCTTACAATGCTATTTGAACACTCAAAACAAAAGTTGAATTCAAACTAACAACACAAATCATGCAGATCATCATTATAAACAAGATTTTGGGTCCAAAAATATACAATAAAATTAGGTTTGCAAGTAGCCAAGGCACCAAATCATCCCTAAAATCTCTAATCAGCAGTCTTAATGTTTCTTAATTTTCTTGTAACTTTTGATGCCCAAATCTTTCTTCCTTAAACCCCCAATGTGGGTTGTGGTTTTAGTAATGGATAGTGCATGATAACTTTGCTTAACCAGTTCGAGAGAGAGTAGAGGTCCATTGTAGACGCTCAATTATAGTCCTCGCTTCGGTGATTTGCTAAAAAGTCAGGTCCTTTTGGTCTGGTTGGTAAAGATCACAGAACTTTTCAAATTTCTCATCATCTGTCTGAAGACAGAGATGCAGTCAACCAATTCTGACCTTGAAAAACACATGGCCCAAGAAATTAAATGTTTTCTACAATGGCGACTACATTGTTCCTTCGCAATGCCTCCTTCAAATATACCGTGGCTAACTTGTACATAATGTCAATATGTACATCATGGTGGTTGATCACCATATCAATGAGAATGCTAAAAAATTAGAGAGTTAAAATACTTCAAAATATATTACACATTTTGGTCTCAAAATCAGTTCTGTACAAAATTATCATGCAAAATATAAGTTTTTGTCCAGAATTTAGGCTTGTTGATCAAATCTAAGAAAACTAACTTATTTGTCAGCTTTTGTTTTATGTAACAAGCGGAGATCTAGTTTTTAAATTTAATCGGCACTAAACAATTTGGCTAATTAAGAATTACACAAAGTATATAACGGCAAAAAAAAACAAGGATAGCCGGTTACTGTGCAAGTAGCACAGAATGTTCCGGCCACAGGCTTGAAAAAACGAAACTTGTTTTCCAAATTGGTGTCGTGATAAAAAAGATCTGAACAAAAAAAATAAAAATTAAAAATACTTGAGAGTCATAAAAGAATAATTCAATTGAAAACAATTTTTGAAGAAAAATTACTAGAAAAACAAAAAAAAGTTTGAACAAAATTTTGAAAAATTTTAAATTTTTTTCAATTTTTTTTGCGGAAATTTTCTAAAATTTCAAATTTTTGAATAAGCTTTTGTAAGCCTACACGGTCACCCTAATAGCTCGAAATAAGACCACAAATCAAAAATCAAAGACCACAAATCAAAAATCTCACGACTGAAAAGGTTTTTATCTGATATATCACACAACCCAGTCCGATGGTTATTTGTGGTACATGATTTTGTGTAGAAACAAAAACAAAAAAAACTAAAACCCACCTAAATACAAAGTTCCTTCCCATTTCCAAAGGTCGGAACAACAAGCTGAAATCCTTTACACCTGATTTTAATAAGTTTTGTCATATAAATTTTTCAAAAAAATTATTCATTGACATAACTTCATAATCTTGTAATTCCGCGAGGTTTTAAATGCTGTTTTACCTATGCGTATAAAATAACAAGAGTTGCTTGGAACTGGAAACAAAAGCATGTCCAGTCATCTGTAAGGATTATCCAGAGAGAGCAAAAAATATTTTGAAAATATAGGGCAATAAACAATCCAAAAACCTGGTTACATCTTACTAAAGCTGTATTATGGCTCTTTTGCTGACAAAGCAATTTTGAAACTTTCTTTAAACTTTGAAGCACTCTTCAAGGCTCTTCAAAATTTTAAAAGATGATTAAGAAATTATCACAATTTTTATTTTCAAAATGTTGCAATATGCAGATATACACTTTATTCGGCTTAATAAAAGCACCAATAACAACGTTAGAACCAAAATCTGAAGTACTAATTTAATAAAAATTGAAAACTACTTTCATAAAACTTAACTTTTTTTTTAATTCTAAGAAATTTTATTTCAATTCACTTCAAGACCATACACTGATGTTTGATGTTAATTCTCGTTTTATGAGAACAAAATTGTTTTGCTGAAGTAAGAAATTGAGCAATAATCGAATTATGCTTTTCTATTGTTGTTGCTGATGTTGAAGAATTGATGAAAGTAGTGAAGTCTCTTAAATAGGTCGTTGATATTTTTTGGTATATTTTTATTCAATAAAGACTAAACCAGGGGTGTAGAATTTTCTTGAGGGGGCGGATTTTCCAAAATTTTTATCAAAAAATTTTGTTGACCTTTTTTTAAGTTATCTAAGTTGATTTTCTAAATTGATTTGGGGCGGAATTTTAAAAACAAGTCAAAATTTTTGTCGCTTTTTTTTAGGTCGGCCATTTTCAATTTCCGAGCTCTCTCGATGCACTAAGAAGACCCTGTTTTGGCTAAACTTTCTGCGCCGCAGGAGGCAAAGTTTTGAAAAAGCGTTTTTTCGGCGCGCGCTTCTCCAAATTTAGCATACCATGGCGCCTTTAGTAGAAAAATTTTAGTCCTTCATCAAAAATGGATATCTCAAAGTAGTGCAAAGGGAGAGCTGTAAACTTATGAACCATATTTTGAAGCTTGTTTTCCATTCTTGTATCAAACAAATCTTCAGAGTTTTAGCTATAGTTCCCAAAAGTTTAAACTTGTATGCCGAACTGGCTATTGACCACATTGATCTCCCTGAATAAATTAATCGACAGCATTAGCAGTAAAATTTGAGCTTTTCAGAAAAGACATTAAAAGACTGGCGAGAAAGTGAATATGCTCACAACAAACATTGCTGAACGCGTATCTTAACTTTGAAGTACATGCTTTAGTTTCTACCAAAAAAACGCATAAAACGTAGAATAAACGAAAAAACGTGCAGTACATGTTTATACGCAGAGCACAGTTTACAAATATAAGTTATTTTTGTTCTGTCCAAATAGCATTAAAATTTCATTCGAGTTCAAAATTACTATCCAAATTTTCAAATATGTAGTCAATGAAAATGGGCTCGTCGAAAGATCGCAACTCGCTCCGCTCGAAGCTTTCGGTTAACACGAAAACAGCTTCCGAGAAGCACGACCCGAACCTCAGCCATTCTTTCGTGTCCGACCGGAAAACACCAATAAAGGCCGAGGATGCCGTCAGCATTCGTAGTGGCCGAAGCGCCCGAAGTGTCCACTCACGAGCGGGAAGACGGAGAAGACATCGAACCAAAACCGAGACGACTCGCCCACCTACTTTGGTTTCGGAAATCTTGAAAAAACGAACACCTTTTCAAAAATTCGACCCGACTTTAATAGCCGACGAACGTGAAATTGAGCTGTTAGTTCACAATGAGAAAGAACGAGGTCGTCTGCCGAACGAAACAGATGAGCATTTCTTATTGGACGAAAAAAGAGCTCGGGCATTACGTCATTGGGAGTATTTGCGACACGTCACAAAAGCTCTCGGAGCCAATCGGAGGATGTTAATTCGGGTACAGAAAAAAAGGTTTGTTCAATTTCCTTGTAAAATGATGCCATTAATATGATTTTTCCTCCCTTTCTGTGATTGCTCTTTTTCTTTTTTCAGTTTTGCAAAAAGCATTTGAGACTTTCCATCATGACATTAAGCTGAAAAAAAAGTTTATGAATTTAGGGGAAAAAAACTTCTTTTGAAAAGAAAACAAGGAGAAAACAAATGCTGTAGAGAAAACAATGCAAGTCACTTATCCGCAAAATGAACTGGAACCTTTAATTTTTTTCCTTGACATTAAGGACACTAACACGAGTGCGTTACAAAAAAAATAACTTTTTCGATTCCGATACAGCATTAGTGGCGGCACACAAAAAAAAACAGAAATTTTTCAGCTGATGCTCGATCTGGTGATACAAAAACGAACTATCAATCAATTCAACTGATTGTAAAATTTTGCGCTTCGGCAAACATGGTGTATGGTGATTTAGTTTTTAGGTGCATCAAAGATTATGCCCTGTGATTGTTACTAGTATCCAGAAATTTTATCGGCCCAATTTTTTTCAAAAGCATGTGATACCATTTCCCAAAAACTAGCTTTGTTCCCGAAAACCAGCTAATATTAAACTGCGTACGTTGTACTAAACTTCCCCTATGGACTAATTGCTTATGGATGTGGCAGCCAAAAACTTTGAACGAAACTTTTCATGTCAAAAACGTATAGCTGATCGTGGTAAACAAGAAGAAATTTAATCTTATCACCAGCCGTCTTACAAATAGACGCATTTAAGTAGTCTAAGACCTTTTTCTTAGTTAATTGTCTCAAATAGTGAAAAAAATTCTATAAATTTCTAGATTCTGGGCAAATAAACTGTATATAAAGCACATCGTGGAATACCCGTAACTTGATTGAACTACTTTATTATAGATTAAACATGATGAAAAAGTGTTTTCTTAAAGATAATCAAATGGTACAGTTTTATGGTCAAAAATACTTTTGATATAATGACTTTTAAGCCAAACTAACTAACTATTCAACCGATAAGTCAAATTGATAAATTTGATCATCTGATCATTATTTATAAGACCCATGTAATTTAGCTGGTTACCCGGGTTGACAAAAAATACTTATCATACTATTTCTTATTATGAAAAAATAGCTTATCATACTATTTCATATTATGAAAAAATAGCTAATCATACTATTTCATATTATGAAAAAAATGCTTATCATACTATTTCATAGTATGGAAAAAATGCTTATCATACTATTTCATAGTATGAAAAAATAGCTTATCATACTATTTCATAGTATGAAAAAATGCTTATCATACTATTTCATAGTATGGAAAAAATGCTTATCATACTATTTCATAGTATGGAAAAAATGCTTATCATACTATTTCATAGTATGAAAAAATAGCTTATCATACTATTTCATAGTATGAAAAAATGCTTATCATACTATTTCATAGTATGAAAAAAATGCTTATCATACTATTTCATATCATGAAAAAATAGCTTATCATACTATTTCATAGTATGAAAAAATAGCATATCATACTATTACATATTATGAAAAAAAATGCTTATCATACTATTTCATAGTATGAAAAAAATGCTTATTATACTATTTCATAGTATGAAAAAATAGCTTATCATACTATTTCATAGTATGGAAAAAATGCTTATCATACTATTTCATAGTATGAAAAAATAGCTTATCATACTATTTCATAGTATGAAAAAATGCTTATCATACTATTTCATAGTATGAAAAAAATGCTTATCATACTATTTCATATCATGAAAAAATAGCTTATCATACTATTTCATAGTATGAAAAAATAGCATATCATACTATTACATATTATGAAAAAATAGCTTATCATACTATTTCATAGTATGAAAAAAAATGCTTATCATACTATTTCATAGTATGAAAAAAATGCTTATCATACTATTTCATATCATGAAAAAATAGCTTATCATACTATTTCATAGTATGAAAAAATAGCATATCATACTATTACATATTATGAAAAAAAATGCTTATCATACTATTTCATAGTATGAAAAAAATGCTTATCATACTATTTCATAGTATGAAAAAAATGCTTATCATACTATTTCATAGTATGAAAAAAATGCTTATCATACTATTTCATATTATGAAAAAATAGCTTATCATACTATTTCATAGTATGAAAAAAATGCTTATCATACCTTCTTCATAGTATGAAAAAAATGCTTATCAAACTGTTTCATACTATTTCATACTATTTCATAGACCAAATAAATAGCTTCTTAACAGGAAGCAGTATAATTTGGGAAAGTTAACGCTCGTTCGTTCATTATATAATTTAAAACGATCCGAACTTGATGATCTTCTTGCCGCCCTTGGGAGCGTGAAATTGACAATCACAATGTTTATTGCTGTCCGATACGACGTGAAAACAATGAATGTTTTGATTATCACAAGGACTAGTACTAAACAATTTTCTGCTTACTCTTGGACCAATCAAGCACGGTCAAAAGTACGGAAAACGAAGAAGATTAGCATTGGCAAGCCTACAGGAAAACGCGTACTTGCTAAAACATCGTTTTCACCGGTCAAGCTTTGTGAAATTCAAAACACACCCTAATTTGAGATTCACTTCTATTTAACTTTTCAATCTCTTCAAATTCAAACCTTAAAACATTCTTTGTCAGCATTTTGTATAATCTTATCATCAGTCATTGGATTCTAACTCAGCATTATAAAGTGCAACTCAATATTAAAATCATATCTGGTAAAAATTAGTGACGACTTGACCCATCTTCATGAGAAACATCAAAGACAAGCTAAGCTGTTTGTACTAAAAGTCGTTTTTTTTGCAATGTTGCAAAACATACATATATACAGCATATTAAAAACGACAACATCCAGAACTACAAAAATTAGATATAATTTTTAATTGTTTGGGAAAGTAGTCTATGCGTCGGTTTTACAGCTACCCACCCGCACTCAGTAAAAAGAGAAAATAATAGATTATAATGGATTTTTATTGCCAGTCTCCATAAGTTTCAAAAAAATATATTATTATTGATTAAAAGTGGATTGTAATTTTACTAATTTTCGAAACACAAAAACCCAATATAATTGATTATAATCAATTATAATCGATTAATTTTTGAAAAAATTATTTCTGAATTTTTTTGAATTATAATCCATTCAATCGATTATAATCCATTTTTATTCGAAAAACGCCATCGCTTCATTTTGTTTTAATTTTGTTTTGTTTTGTGTGCTTTACAGTTGGTTTCTTTTCCTAATGTTTACTGTTAAATTTCTTACTGTTTACTGCAAGGACGGATTAAGGGGGGGCTGATGCCTTTTTTCAGGTATTCGACCCCCTGCCTACCCAAAGCGTTCCCCCTTTGTACTGTTTTGAGATACCCATTTCGGAAATCCGCCTCCACCCTTCGAGAAAATCTCATATCTCTTTTAATTGATTATAATTTATCAAATTTTCACCAAAAATATTATCATTATGTTCATAAATTGTTTAAACATCTAAAATTGCCGCTTATAATTAATTATAATTTTGCTAAAAGTACGATTATAATTATAATATATTCGATATTTTTCTCTTTTTACTGAGTGCGGGTATATCTAATTGAACGGAGTTTTTGATGTTCATGTTTTAGTGCCGTAATTTTCAACGTTTGACCATTTTTTGAAAACCTTGCGTCGTGTTGTATTTCCATGCTTGAAATTACAAGAAGATTGTGATACTCTCGGATATACAGTGTCGATAAACGGTAATGGTTGAAACGGAAGCGGTTCGATTAGGTTTAGATTTAAAGAAAAAGCGAAAAAACAGTTTAAAATCTTTCATTTATGCCCGAGTCCGATTGAATCTGACCTCGAAGCATTTGGGATCCACATACTTTAGTACTAGTTCATATAAATATTATGATTACATATTAGCGGCAAGTCATTGGGAGTGATGCCACTTAATTTTTTTAGAGACAATTTTTGAGTCAATCCTTACACAAGCACACATAGCTCCAGGTACAAAGTCTATTAACAACGAAATGTTTTTCAAAACAAAAAACTGGTCCAATAAAAAGAAGTCTTTGTTTAGGTCCTTTTGCCTGAAGAACCAATTTGTTGTAGTTTGAAGGCCGGCAGCTCAAATAATTTTTTTTTCGATCTTCTAATTTTGTAATAAATGGTATTTCGTTTCAGATAATTCGTCCGAGTGAAGTTGTTTTGTTTTCAGTGAGTTTTCTTTATTGGGGTTGAAACCCATTTGGTTTTTGCAGCACCATTTCTCCAAGATTTGGAGATCATTCTGAAAAACCGACGCGTCATTTTTTGAGCGTAAATATAAAAATTTAGCATCGTCAGCAAACATAAAAGGCTTTGGTTTCAACTGATGGTCAAAGTTCAAAAAATTTGATACAAATTTCTTTCTTGCCAATTTGTCCTAATTAATTGATGAATTGAACAATGATTAAAATTATCAAGCGCTTTCGCGAAGTTCAATTAAAATCTTCAATAAGATGATCGGAAAAATGAATTGCCTTATAACTCTCGTCTATGAAACAGAGAAGTTGAAGAACAGTAGAACCTTCTTTCTGGAAACCGTTCAGACAAAAAGGGATAAAATTATTTTGTGACATTAAAGCGTATCAAACAAGCATTTTCAAAATCGTGGATACAAAATCCAGGCTAATAATTGTCCGATAATCATAGTTTCGCTTTACGAGCCCTTCCTTAGGAGCGGTGACACCCGATCAAATTTCCGTTTTTCTAGAACTACACCAGTTTTGATTTTTTTTGTAGAAGAATTATTCGGGAGAAAGATAAACTTTTGTGCTGCTTCTAAATAAAACAAGAGTTAGTTCATCGGCAATGGTTTTACTCCATCGCACAATTGGTCAAATTTTTCACCTTGATCTAAGGGATATAAAACATTTGAAAAGCGGCTTTGTGCTTCAGTTATGTGCTAAATCAGCTTCGTTAATTTTTGATCAATTTCAATCAATTTAATCAGTTTTTCTAAATGTGGTTTTTTAATGTCAGGTTCAATTTTGGACGCCAGTGCTCCTTTTATTTGATTATACTGACATTTTTGATTAGGTAAGATTTTTCTCTGGAGATTGATGGAGGTACACTGAATCGATGTACTGTTTTAAGGGTAACACACTATTTCAAGTGGAAAATTAACCAGATTTATCATTCCTCGAGGTTTGAAGAGAATTTTTCACAATCAGCAATTGCATAGCTAATTTTTTTTCTCGAATAATTTTTTACAGTTTTCGTCGAACCATCTAAGCAGTTTTTTTTGCGACTTGATCATCATAGTAAGGTGAGGAGAAAATTGCCAAAAAAATTCTAAGTCTAGAGATACGATTGCTTCTGACTGGGATGTAAAAACAATATAAAAAATAGATGAGCAGATCATCAGGAAACCAACAAAATGTTCGATATTGAGCTTATCAAACCTGTCAAGAAGTGTAGACTCATAGTCACCAGTTGAATACAAAGATGACCAATTTGTTCTGTCGCATTTCTAATTAGCAAAGCACAACAACTCGGAGCAGCCATACCCTTAAGAACAGATGACAACCATCGATATGCAATGGTTGTAGTTGGATTATAAAAGCTAACAATAAGATAAATCAGACCATCTACTATTAATCAACGTACAAGGGAAATCGTCACTCATTTTTGTTGTATCAATCGAGTGAGGTATTTTTTGTCAACTCCAGAAGAACACCTCCGTGTTTTGATGGTTTATCAGTTTGGTGTTCGCAGCGGTATATGCAAAGTTGGCTGAAGTTAAGAGCGGTAAGTCGCTGGGAGTAATCCCACTTGATTTTTTTGTAGACAATTGTTGAGTCAATCATTACATGAGCACACATAGCTCCAAGAAAAAATTCTAATAACAACAAAATACTTCTCAAAACTGGTC